ATGCACACCATTCTCAAGTCTGGGTGATGAGTCAGTGAAGTGCCTCATCTGTCACTGAGTGTCCATGAATCCTCCAGTACAGAACAAAGCCAGGGAATGTTTTCTGGATGTGTCTTGACCTGGAATGGACTGAATGCCTCTTGAATCTGATAACACCAATGTTTTCCTTTCTGTTGGAACCTTCTATCTTTCATTACTTAAAAATGATTTTGTCAGCAGTCCTGACCTAGATTGTGAAGTCATTTGATCTGAGCGTCCATTTAAGTGCATTGTTGAGAATGTTCTCTTTCTAGTCAGGTTATTCTACAAACTGTCTTAAATGGCAGCACTGTTAGAGAACATCATTTATGCTTTATTTAATCTTTATTTCAAAAAATATGTGGAATGGATACATTTAATGTAATTCCTTTAGACCTAAGTTTTTTGTCAGCATTTGAATACTGCAATGCCCCTCTACTGCATTCATTTTTTTTTTTTTTTCTCTCCATGGCTTGAATTGTAATGACACTGACTGTTAGCCACTGGCACAACGCTCATTGCTTTTTGCTAGCACCCTTCTGTCCAATGTTAATCTGACATTCTTAATTTTAAGCTCCATATCTTTATAAATCCAGCCTTCACAGATCAAGTCTTCACAGTCAAGTCATGCCCCTCTACTGCATTCATTTTTTTTTTTTTTTCTCTCCATGGCTTGAATTGTAATGACACTGACTGTTAGCCACTGGCACAACGCTCATTGCTTTTTGCTAGCACCCTTCTGTCCAATGTTAATCTGACATTCTTAATTTTAAGCTCCATATCTTTATAAATCCAGCCTTCACAGATCAAGTCTTCACAGTCAAGTCTTTGAATCCTGTATGGGGGAAAAAAAAAAAAAAAAAAAAAAAAAAAAAAGGCAAACCCGGAAGATATCAGTGAAACAGTCATTTAAAAGAACTGAGAATTAAATTTGCTTCTGAGGTAGCTGATGATCTCAGGACTTTCTCCAGAGCTTATTCTCTCCTCTTAGTTCTTCTATGTTGGGCTTTACTTTTGGGCATTATTGGTTAAGAGTCTGCCTAGGCATCGCTTTAATTAATTTTTTATGGCATCTAGCATACGTAAGGTCCCTAACCCTGGAAGGCTTATTTGACATTGGACATGTAATTGACATTTGACATATGAAAATGTTGCCTAATAAGGAAAGCTACATCATATCAAAGACTTGCTATTATTTTTAATTTTTAATAACTACATGATTAGAAGAAGCATTTCATTACAGCTTTAATATATTCAGTAACACACCCCAGAGCAAGAGTACATCTCTTTCGCAAATGGCTGTAAGTTTCTAGGTTCACAGTTGAATTAATAGTTATACAATATTGAACTCAATATAAACCCTGTAAGACATAAAATTGAATGAGTTTTAACCTTTAAAAAAGATCTCCATTTTATTTTAGAATATATTGTTCCTTGCAGAAAGACTCATTGTTTTTGCTACTAATATTGAGATGTTGGTGCATGCATCCCTAATCTGTACATATCTGATTATTACTAGTCATAATCGGTTGCACTTGGATCCCTGGTGCCTGTGTATGTCTATAAAGTCATCGGGTAGATTTCAATGGTAATGTTTATCACCTCTACCAATTAACATGACATAAATTTCCATGCTTCCTCCTCAAATATAATACATTTTTTAAATTTGATTTTCTGTGTGTGTGTGTGTGTGTATCACACAGAACATCCCAAACCATCTTACTCAACTATACACCCACTTCCAAGATGGCAACCTCCCATAGCCTTCCTCCCCCGACTAGAGCCCTTATACTCTGATATCCCTACTACTGTCTGCTGTGTTGTCGACACCCCCAGCCATTCCCCACTACTTGTTCATCTGGTGAATCTACTCAGCCTATCTGGAGGTCTTTGTTTTAGGAGGATCAGCTGTTCCCCATCTAGCAGCAATCAGTTGTCAATATTCCTTTAGATAAGATTGGTCTGGCATTGTTGCTTGTTATGTAGCCTTTACCTATGCATATATGGACTCTTAAAAAATTATATTGGCCCCTTTAATCTTTGGTTAGACTTTCCTTTTGGGTGTTTAAGGCCATACAGTTGGCCCAGATAAACCAATTTATTTTTACTCTTAAGGTCATTTGAAGATCTGTTCCTCAGGGGTCACATGGGCTTTGGAGAAGCCCCTGGCTCCTTTCTTTTACCAATTCCACCTATGCGAAGATAAGTCAAAGGTCCTCCTCGACCATGGTTGGCTTTCCTTGGAAGCATGGAGTGATTCCTCTGTGTTCACCCTCCTTTTTGTAGAATGGACACTGGTTCAAGTCCATCTCATGGGGTCTCCTCAGCCTCCTTCCAAATGTTGGAGAGGATGTGGGGAAAGGGGAACACTCATCCACTGCTGGTGGGGCTGCAAACTTGTTCAACCCCTATGGAAAGCAGTGTGGAGAACTCTTAAAAAACTAAAAACTAACCTATCCAGTATTCTAATTCTTGGCATATACCCAAAAGACTCATAATTTTGCAGAGACACTTGTACAACCATATTTGTTGCTGCTCTTTTCACAATAGCTAAGAGATGGAAGCAACTAAGTGCCCCTCAACTGATGAGTGGATAATGAAAATGTGGTTCGTTTATACTATGGAGTTTTACTCAGCAGTAAAGAAAGATGAAATTATGCAATTTGCAGGTAAATGGATGGAACTAGAAACTGTTATACTAAATGAAGTAACACAGACTCAGAAAAAAAAATTGACATATGTTCTCCCTCATATGTGGATTCTAGAACCAAACCCTGATAAGTGAGTATGTATCCAGACATAACTACGGGAACCAGGATAATGGAAAGGAAACAGGGAGGTAAAGGAAAAGAACCTGAAAGAGAAGAACAGTAGGAAACAGGCCTTAATAAGGGAGATATGGGTAAAAATTGGGTTAGTTTAAGGGAGGGGGGAGGGAAGGGTATACAAGGAACCTAGGGGATAAAGGGAAAGAAGGAGCTCAAGAGAGGTAGGACCGTAGTAAAAGGGTATTAGTAAGGGAGAAAAGGGGGAAATGGGGGAACCTTAAGTAAGAAAACAATGATGGAAGGGTAAGACAATACAAGAGATACATAATGCCTAGCTAGTTTTAAAAAGCAGAGGGAACCATATTACTCATAGAACCTACTGACAAATTATACATAGCAGATCAAGAAATATATGCCTAGGTAAGGTTTATCTGAGAACAATTTGTTTTTGCCCAAGATTTATCTACATGACAAACAGTAATTAAAAGTACCAGACTGGTGGAAATAACCTTCTTGGATGTTTAACAGACATAGTTTGAGGCCTATAATAATTTGGTCAGAGAGACATAAAAGGCTTGTTATTTTTAAATTGTGAAGAATAAAAGGTGCTATATACATGTATAATAACTATATAATAACATAGAAAAATGCCTATTTTAGAAAAAAATGGGATTAAGTAATTGGTTAGAATGTGCCAAATTTAAAGAAAAACAATGATGAGCCAGGCGTGGAGGCCCACACTTTTAATCCTAGCACTCAGGAGAGGCAGATGGATCTTTGTGAGTTCAAGGTCAGCCTGGTCCACATAGTGAGTTCCAGACCAGCTGGGAGTACAGGAAGACCCTGTCTCCAAAAGACAAGGCAAGAGAAAAGAAAAACAATGATTTAACTGTGTCACTGATGTCATTTATATCTTTAAAACATCAGATTTTTTTTAATATTTTTTTTATTTTATGTGTATGCATGTATTGCTTGCAAGTAGGTAAGTGCACCCGTGTTGTGCAATGCCCGCAGGGGAGAAGAGGCTGTCAGATCCCCTGGAACTGGCGATATGGACAGTTGTTAGCTGCCATATGGGTGCTGGGATTCGAACCCGGGTCTTCTGCAAGAACAACCAATGTTCTTAACTGCTGAACCTTCTCTGCAGCCCCAAAACATCAGATTTCTTTCTGACCTCAGGCTCCTGATCTGAAGTGTTTCCACCTCATGAGTTCTGGGATCATGGGCATGTACCAGCACACCCAGCTAGTTTGTTTTATTTTTAAATTGTGTCTGTGGATAATGTTTAAGTTTCAAAGTTTGTTACCATTCATGAAATATAGCTTTGGATCCATATATGCCTTCATCATCTTGGTAGCTGTATACAGTTTATGCAGGAGAATGGGTGAAACTAGAGAGAAGGGAGATGACTTATCTGACATGGTAAGAGACACGGGGGCATTGTGTTCCTTCTATTTTGAGAGTTTTGTGATAGGCTAGGAATTCTTTTTTAGACTTTTTAAAAACTTTATTTTTATTTTATGTGTATGAGTGTTTTGCCTGCATGTAAGTGCATCCATATCATGCAATGTCTGCAGGATCTAAAAGAAGACATCAGGACCCTGGAACTGGAGTTACAAACAGTTGTTAGCTATCATGTGGGTACTAGGAACTAAACCCAGGTCCTCTGCAAGAACAGCCAGTGCTATTAACCACTGAACCATCATTCCAGCTCCCATGGGAGTTTTCATAAAAAATTATGCATGACCAAAAATGTTTGTGGAGGGGGGATGGAGAGATGGCTCAGCAGTTAAGAGCACTGGCCACTCTTCCAGAGGACCTGGATTTGGTGACCAGCACCCACATGACATCTAACAACCATTTGCAACTCCAGTTGAGGGGACCCAGTACCCTTTTCTGTCCTTCGGGGCATTACATGACATGTGAGTACACTTACATATATGCAGGCAACACTCATACACATAAAAATAATAAAAAATTTTAAATGTGTACAGAAATGTTTTTGGTATCTTAAGTGTTCACTGGGTAGAGAAGAAGGCTACAGCATGAGTTCTATTGCTTTCTGTGAGCCTGATAGTCTACTGTGTATTTTCTAAGACTATTGTCTGTGAAATATAATAGTTCAGTATTACTGTGTTTTTGCATTTAAACTCTCAGTTAATTGATGGGCACTGCAAATATAAAACTCTAAAGCATTTTTGGCTTTTCTTATAGGAAGAAGACAAGAGTCCAGTCAGTTACCCTTCCCTCCTCAGCCACATGACTTCTTCCTTCTTGAATCATCCAGTCCTTCCAATGATAGTAAAAGTAAAGATCCCACCCACCTCTGTGCTGCTCAATGAATTCCCTCCACTGCTGTCATCTTTACCCTGCGACATCCACCTGGTTAATTTAAGGACAATTCAGTCAAAGGTATATCCTTAAATACACCTGTACAAATTTGTTTCTTCTAGCATATACTTGGTTTAAGGGGTAAGAAAGGAGAAGAAAGGTTAGTAAGCTTTGGAGCTGGAGTGATGGCTCAGCAGTTAAGAGTACTTTCTGCTCTTGAAGAGGCCCTAAATTTGGTTACCAGCACTCACAGCAGGTTGCTCACCACCACCTGTATCGTCAACTCTAGGGGTATCCAGCATCCTCTTCAGGCTTCTACATGTACCCACACACATGTGGCATATATACACATGTGCAGGAACACATAAATACACATAAATAAAAATAAATCTTTTAAAAAAAACCCATAAGCTTCACTGTGCTTTGCAAAATGATTACAAAGACTTCCTCTTTTACCCAAAGTCATACCTTCCTGGTTTAGCACATATTCCTATACTGATTTGTTTGCCTCTCAGAAAAGTTTTGTGTGATAAGCATATCACAGCTCTCATCTTTGTTCAAACACGGAAGGTAAAGCTGGCCTCCAGGTAGGTAGTCAGAGGACAGAACCGGGCTTACCAGCTCTAGTCACTTTTGCTATTTACTTTTTCCTCAGCCAGTGTTTCTCAGAGTCATAGCAGTATTAAGTGTAGTGCTTACTTATTTCTACAATAGATGCTTTGTTTTTTCATACCTTTTGTTTACAAACACTGCAATTCAAGCCCCAGTATCTTTTAGGCTAACATTTGAGAAAGAACATGGCATCAAATTTGATTGTTAGACTGCTTTAGTTTACGTGTATGCCCATATTTTAAAGTTTGCATTTAGAATGAGTGCAGATTAGATAATTAGTGCCCTTTCTATGTGTGATTGAGCCATTTTGATGTTGTGAATGGGCATATGGTTAACTGGATGTAACAAGTGACGATCATTTATGAGGAATATCTCATGGTAATGGCTTGAGCATAGGAAGAAGAGGCTGCTCAACCTCAGAGGAGAGACTGTTTAAGACATAAAGTAGGGGCTGGAGAGATGGCTCAACGGTTAAGAACACTGGTTGTTCTTGCAGAAGACCTGGGTTCGAATCCCAGCACCCACATAGCAGGTAACAACTGTCTGTAACTCCAGTTCCAGGGGATCCGACAGCCTCTTCTGTCCTCTGCAGGCATTGCATGACATGGGTGCACTTACCCACACACAGGCAATACAGACATACACATAAAATAAAAAATAAAAAAGATGTAAAGCAAACTAAGGATAAATCCATATTATGGATGTTTAGAAATTTACATATTTTATACCCAAGGGAAGGAGGCAGGGACTAGGTGGCTTGTGGTAATGAAAACAGGCTGATGGAGTGTGTATATCCGCATTGACACACTTGCTTTGTCATGTGACATTAACTTGCAGAATTTATTTCATGCTTGATACATACTACCTTCTGCCATAGGTATTGCGCTTAGAGATGTCAACAGAACAGACAGCCCTCAGCTTCTTAGGGTAAAAATAATTAAAGAATGAAAAAGAAGAGAAATGTGTTAAGTAGTGATGAGTGTTGGGGAAACTAATTCAGAGAAGGTGATAAAAGTTTGCTTGGAGTAGCTAGAAAGGCCCCATAGAGTAGGTGATAGCTGGAGTAGCAGTCTGAAGGGGCTCAGGACATAAGGGACTAATACAGACTTCTGGGGAGTATGAGGATTGGTAGAAGAATGTTGGACAAGTTACAAGCAGTTATGAAAGTGCGAGGTGGGAAATGTGCTTGAACATGGGAAATGGGCTTTCTTTTCTGTATGCTCCTTCCAGGATTTTTGCATGTTCTTTTATGGGGCTTCTTTTTGACCTTTGGAGGCCAGGATGGCCCATTGAAAAGAACAGCTAAGGAATAGATAGGCTTTCTGAGATAATATGCCATTAGTTCACAGTCCAGGATAGAGTAGAAGGCGCCAAAGACCCTGGGCTACAGGTTGCCACTTGCTGACACAGATGCAGTGGCCATTAGCAATCCGAAGATCCCAAGGGCTTCTAACAGGTGGGGTGGGGAGGAGAGTCCTGGCCACTGTTCATCAGCCTAGCCTGTAGATAGATGACTCCTCTCTTGGAACTGTGTCTAAGTGAATTTCTCAAGCTGTCTGGAGTCAGTCAGTAGGGTTGTGCTTTCTGTTATCTAAGGGTGGCACTGTTTCTCACATGACTTCATGTGAATAGTAACTTCTTTTCAAACTCCCTACTGACTGTCTTCCAATTATAGAAGTCTAATTATCTCCCAGATGAGAAAAATTCCATTGCTTACCAAGTGGGTTGACACCCTTGAGCGTTCTGGCCCTCTGCAGTCTAGATTTCACTCACTGCAGCCACCTGCCTGCCATTCTCCTCAAATTTCTGCACAGGTTGTCTTCCTGCAGCCTGAGAGACTGCTGACACAGCTTAGTTTTTGAGGTGGGGGCCATATGAGCTAAGTCTGCCTTATGCCTAGTATGAGAAACATGAAATGATATTGTGACAGCACCCTGAGAACAGAAGCACTGTGTTCTAGTTTGCCTTTTGTTGCTTTAATAAACTGCTCATCAAAACCAACTTGGGGGAGGAAGGGATTTGTTTGGCTTACACTTCCGCATCACAGTGCATCACTGAAGAACTCAGTACGAGAACTCAAGCAAGGAGGCATCAACTCAAGCAGAAACCAAAGAGGAACTCTGTTTACTGGCTTGTTTCTACTTGGTTTGATCAGTTACCTATATTTTTTTAATGTATTTATTATTTTTATTTTATGTGTATGAGTATATTCCATGAATGTACGTAAGTACGCCCATGCTGCGCCGGGGAGGTCAGAAGAGGGCTTCAGATTCCCCTGGAACTGGAGTTAAGGATGGTTCATAGCCACCATGTGGGTGCTGGGAATCGAACCCAGGCCCTCTGCAAGAGCAGCCAGTACTCTTAACCCTTGAGCCATCTCTCCAGCCCCCTCAGTTACCTTTCTTATACAGGCCAAGCCCACCTGCCTAGGGATAGTACACCCACAGTGGGCTGAGCTTTCCCACATCAACCAGCAATTAGAAAATACCCCACACACATGTCCATGGGCCAATCTGATGGAAGGAATTTCTCATTTGAGAGTCTTGTTCCCAGGTATGTCTAGGTTTGTGTCAAGTTGACAGAAACACGCTGTAAGCATGTTAATCCGGCTGATGCTACAGTACATGCCAACAGGCACAGATGGAGATTTCTGAGTACAGGGAAGAGAGCAATTTTGTACATCAAGATTTGAAAGGAAAAATAAGGACTAAAATGTCAAAGGCTATCATACCATGCTAGCAAGTAATCAGAACTAACTGTTTGGGACTGTTCTACATTATCAGATGAGTTGGTGACAGTTCCTATGTTAAGTTTCAACTCTTAGCATATATTTGCAATAGTTGAGAGCTCACTAGTAATCTATTGGAGGATTGATCCATCTATTCTTCTGTAAAGAATTTTCTAGAAAGAATTGCTCTTTGCCCTTAACCTTTGCAAAAAGACAGGTCATAAACTGGGCGTGGTGGCACATGCCTTTAATTCTAGCACTGTGGTGTCTATATAGTGAGTTCCAGACCAACTGACACTACAGGAAGACCTTGTCTCAAAAAAAAGGAAAGGTCATCATTTAGTGAAGTTGAAATGAGTATTGGCCTAAAAAATAGCTGCTGCCTAGAAGGTATCCATTGTAATTTCACAGGATGCCACAGAAATGACAATGCAATGCCAAAAGAAAGACAAAAATGACTGGATGGGTAAATCTAGAAGCTAGGCATAAATATACTGAATTGTGATCCTGGTTCTGCGTGGTGACAGCATTCAGTATCCAACGGTGGGGTTCATTTGGAGATTGCTATTCATTTTTCCAATGTACTATTGATAAAGATTGGGTTCCAAGCAAGATCCAAGGTTTGTGGTGGCAATATGTCAGCATCTTCCTTCCCTTGGCATTTTCTTGATTAATAGTTCCAAGAACTGCTTAGCCTGATGAAGAATGAAGGCACATGTCATCTCTTGCCTGATCCCTGCCCCCAACAGCATCATGGGAGTGCCCTGTCTGCCCATCTCCCTAGCCACCATCTGAAATTCCTCAGTTCTAAACTCCAACCTGGTCTTCAGACTGCTCAGGAATAAAAGAATTATGGGTTCAGGGACCAGTGAGAAGCCAGGGCATGGTTGGATAAGAGTGAGAAAGGCCACGTGGGGACTGGAAGGTGCATCTGCAGTTCCAGGCAGCGGCCTGCACGTTCTCTGCTTCCAACTGTCCTCAGGAACAGAGATTCTGACCCAGCCCAGAGATTGTGGTTCTGCAGGTCTAGGAAAAAAGCCGAGAGATTAGTGGACAAACAACCCCTCCTTTTGAGTGTAGAAATTGCTGAGTCACCTCCATTTCTTAAAATGAAAAATAAAGGCTAGAGATTCAATGATAAATTTGATTAAGAACTGTTATATGAAATTACAAAAGCTCAATAAAAAATATTAAAAAAATGAAATCACCCATTAGGTCTGATCCTGAGCCCTGTTCATGACCTCAAGAAGGTGTTCCTTAACTTTTCAGAGTTACTAATCCTGTTTCAAAAGGTCCAGAACTTTGAGAGATTGTCTTTATTAATCGATGTTTATATTTTTATATAGGCTGCCTTGCTTTTTCCCTTTCTGTGTTTGAAAGGTGATGCCATGCAGTGAAGAGAAGAGCTAATGTCTCAGGAGCCCTGCCACAGTGTGCAGTGTGCCTTCCTCCTTCCAGCTGCTGCCTGGGAGTTTAACTGCTAGTTGCCTCGCTTGCACTTTGTCATGCTCTCTTCTTTGAACTGTCTTCTCTTGATCACTTTTTCTCTGTACCATCAAACACTTCAGATGAGGCTTCTATAAGGTCTGAAAACTAGGTAACAGGAGAACCACCTAAGCACACCAAATAGGAAAAGCCAGGACATCAGGAAACGGTAACTGTTTAAGGAAAAGAGACCCTTGGCAGAGAGGATGCTGGGAGACTCCCATGCAAAGACAAATCATGAATCAGGGTTCTGAAG